AAAAGTATCAAATAACCCCTTGATTAGAATATATTCATTCTGTCTGTTTTCCCAGGGGTTTGAGCTCTGGGGGGGGGTTTCACGCATTTTCTAATGGGAAGGAAAAAAATGCACCGCGATGTGTGTCACTAAGCATGGAGTAGATTATTTTATGGATTTGTGCATTTAGAAAGCTCGCTGCATGCCAATGGCCGATCTGCACGCAACCGAATGACAGTTTATTGTTGTTACAGACCTTTTTCACAGAGGACATTTTGGCATTTTATTGCAAAAGCGTAATTAATAGCAAATGCATTAGTTGCTCTCTGATTGCAGAGTTGAAAAAACCTTTAAAAAGACAAAGGTGTGTGCACATTATGCCATAAGCGACACATGTATGTTCTCTATCGTACCATCCAACTATCGTCTTCTATAGGATCACATGACCTCGGTAGTCTTTCGCTGACCTTTTCAAACCCAACTCAGCTAAACGTCACAGGTGTTCGACAATCATGTCATTTCAACCACCAACTTCCTGATTCTCATTTCAGTGGCAAATGTTTTGCTCATTCATTTTGACTAAATGTAGAATTCATGTGTGGAATAGACTCGGTCTGCAGGTCAGCAGGTGGTAGCTTGAATAAACTCAGAATCTAGTAAGTCCATTCTGTCCATTCTGTCCTTGTGGAGCCACCGTTTCTCCACATGAGCTTCTAACTTTTCCTGTTTTGAATGTTGTATTGAACCAAATCAATAAAAAGTTTCCTTGCTGAAGTTTGTTTGGCTTCTGATTGATTACAGAGATGTTTGATTTTGTGAGTTAAGTACATTTATATTTCAGTTTGATATTTTGCTTGATTCAGTTACGATGGCTTTACTGTGATGATGGCCTTTGAGCTACAAATGTACAGGTGAGATGGAAATTTTTAAGATTTTGTGTTTACGATCAAATAGATAAAGCTGGTGGTGTAAAAAAAAAAATGGAATCAGAGTCACTTCTTCCTTTAGCTCTGTCTCCGGGTGACCACATGGTGCCCCGTCCGACTCAATGACTGCCTGACCTTCAGTCTATCTTTGTCCCTGTGCTGCCACGACCCACTGAGTCAGTGGAAAACTCATTTAAGCCTAATTACACGGGCAAAGGCCTCTACCTCTCTCTTACTTTCTTTCAGCGACGAGCTGCTTCCTTTCTTTCGCCCATCTCCATTCTCCTTGGCTCTCGCACTGTCCTTTTCTCTTTGCTCTCTCGTTTCTTCTCGTCTTGTGCTCCAGTTACCAGATCAAGGTAGCCCCGCACCACCGGTCAGCCAAAACACACACACACATGCGCACACACACTCACATTCAGGATATCCTACACTCTACTGTGGCCAAGAGGCCACAAGTACAAAAGCTCTAAGATGGAGCATTGTTGTAACACCAGGGTCAGCAATAGGTTAGGACCCAGTCTTAATTAGCTGACATAACTTATACATGATTACCCCGGCCCTCAAAACACACACACGCACACACTCGTATGTTTTTATGTTTGCCTTTTTTCTCTTTTATTAAGGGTTAATGTAGATCCATAGCAGCAAACCTCAAGACAAAACCCACCGATCCCCATCCGGGACAGAAGGGGCCTATGGACACGTGCACGCACAAGGCATAAGACGGTGTAAGGTTTAAAAACAGCCGGGTCAGCCGGGTGAAATGTAAGGAAGCCTGAGAGGAACCTTACTCTCTGGGCTGTCAGATGACAAAAACAACAACATCTGACACAAAAGTCATATCAATGATAGATGACGGTCCGGGGTCAGCGCTCAGGTCGTGTGTCGGCACCCACCTGAGGTAAAGACGGTGGTCCTCGAGGGGTTCAGTGCATCTGTAAACCGACCCCCTGGTGTGTGGAAAGTAGAGTTGTCGTGTTTTTTTTTTTTTTCCTTGTGCGTGTAGTTGAATAATACACAATGAGCACACATCAATAAAAAGTGAAGTGCAGGAGCAGTGTTTCTGCTGTTTCATGGTATTAAAAACCTTTTTAGATGTTGTATTTGAAACAGCATCTCAGTCAAATATCAGGTTCACAAAGCCAAATTAAGAGCTTTGTGTTGATGGGGGGAAAAAAGAATAAATGGAAGTGCCTTTAGCAACCACAACACGTAATAATAACTGCCAGCATTACCAGTCTATATTTCTCTTCCAGAAAGTTTAGGCACACTCAGGATATGGTATTCATTTGTTTGGGAAATGCTTACCGTTTCGAATGGTAACAGGACTCCCGGGACCAGATGAAATCCAAGGCCAAAACCATAAGGAAGAAGGGTGAGCATCAACAAACAGTCTAATGACGCGCTGGTAATGGAGAGGGTCAAACAGGAGGAGGAGGCACTCTGCCACGCGCTCCATCACAGACTGCAGAAATACATGGTAAAAAAATCATTCTAATTTTTTCTTTTTTTTTAAAGGTCAAGAATTTGTATAAACCATATATATTTAGCAGTCAAAAATAATAATAACATCCGCAAATTCCAAACAATGAAAGCGCAATTGGTGCGTCATGAAACTGACAATAACCAACTGCACTTGCCCTTGGTAAAGAGGGGCAATTTGCAGAACAAAAACAAGCTCTCAAAGCCCATTCACTGAGTCCAAATCTCTCAACCGCAAAGGTTTCTAATGTGTTTTAATGTGTGTGAGATTTGGAACTATTAGACGGTCAGTAGCGAGCAACAGCAGAGGAGCGGTAAAGGCCCGACTCCCTGAAAGTAAACAAATCTAAATTATTCAGAGGCAGGAATTAAAATTGCATTTATTTGTTACAACCCTGAAACAATTACCGTTTCAGGATTGTGATCCAGTGTCTGAGAGCACGCATGAGCGCGGTCGGGGAAGGCTAAATGAAAGCGTAATGAGGAAAAGAAGCTGCACACGCAGTTGCTCTGGCGATCAACTGAATGCAAGAAAACAGACAAATAAAAGACTATGACCACACTATCAATGAAAAAAAGAATAAAAAATGCAGATTAACCGTCAAGACATAATTCCTCATTACATTTCTAAATTATTCCATCCATCTAATGTCTCATTTTAAAATATCAACTGGGTTAAAAAACAAACAAAAATAACAATAATTTCACTTCTTAACTCGATTACGATCCAGTCGCTCATCCAGAGGCTTTTTATTTTTGTTATTGTAGCGCCCCCTTCTGGTTCAAACCGGAAATGACACAAAGCAACTCCCCACCGTCTTTCAGCAGCTTTTAAGCCTTTTTTTCTTAATAAACTTATAAGAATGGACATCACTGACCTTTTCCAGCAGCTACCCGGAGACTGCTTCATTGTGAAGTTTTTCTGAATCATTTTCCGTTCTGCAACGCATGTACGAGTTGTTTTTCCTTTCTGTTAACAGGCTTGTGGCGATTGTGATTATAATGGGACACAGATCTTAAAACTGAAGTGCAGAATTATTAACCAGTAACAACCAAGTAACAAACAATAAATAGTAAACATGTGTTGAGGCTCCACGGAGTGGACGTTACTGACAGCCAGATGCACACAAGACACTTCCCTGTTGAATTTAAACAGCTTTATTAGTGTACACTGTAAGAAGTCGTAAATGTAGGATAGTTGGAAAGTCTATGAAAATCAGTGACTGAAGAACACAGAACCACTAACAGATTGTTTGCAGAGTGAATATGCTCCGTTCATAGCAAGCAGAAGTAATATATATGGAAAAATAAAAATTACAGCTATATAACATCACTAGTGACATGTAGGAACTTCACTTTTTTCCCAAAAAGCCTTTTTCTTAGAGACTTACCAGAAAAAAGGCTTATATTGGAATACACAATTGTCATCACAATAAGAAAAAAAAAGAAAAAGAAAAAGAAAAAAAAGAAAGAAAAAGAAGTCAGATATATGATCTGTAAATAGGAATGCGGACCTCAGAAAGTGTTAGTGTCCTTCGTAAAACTTCATTTGATTCCAGCTTTGCCAGTGAAGGTGAGAAGAACCCGTTGGATTAACAGTGTGAGGTTCGGTGGCACAAAAAAAGACAAAAGGCTTTGCTGGATCCTGGCATTTTGCACAAAAAAGAAAGCTTAAACCATCAGCAAATACACAATGGAGATTTCTAAATTGGGGGGAGGGACTGTTTCCAAATCTGATGTCCAGAAAGTTTGATTTCAAAGCATTGAATAAAGATGTAGGTCAGCAGTGAGAGTGTGACCAATGAATACTTTGTATGAGCAAAAATACAAGACATTAAATAAAAAAATGAAAAAAAAAAACATCAAACAATACAGACAGAAAGTCACAGCAACTGGCTGGTTTACAACTTCTACCAGATGAACTAACAGTTCACCTTAACTTATTTGTGTTTTGCTTTTGAATAACCAGAAGGGTCAAATGAGTATCTAACGAAAAAGAAAAAAATAACCAGCATGCGTTTTGTGGGCACATCCCTCCACAGAGGCGGGAGGGGCATTTGGTCAGTGTGTAATTTAAAATGCTCTCATTTCCGCAGAATATGTGTCCAACCGTCAATTATGAAAGCAAACCGTAAATGCATGTACAGGCCCCACCAGCAGCCGCTGCTGATTAGTTTCAAACAGAACACCGGGGATTGATGGCATGAGTCAAGGTAAGGCAAGTTATACACCTAGTCACAATTAAATACTTTTTATTTACATGCCCACATAAAAAGAAGAAAAAAAAATCCCCGTTTTCTTGGTAATATTTTGTATATGCACCAATTTTTGGTCCCTGCCTGAGAAACCTTTGCAGAAACCAGACCTCTGAGGGTGGAAAGACGCACGTTAAACTTACAGTGTGTAAGCGTGGAGTTCTACAACTGAAATACAAACTGGGAGGTCCTGCGTTGACTAAAAAGACAAAAAACTGATCCTCCAGCGTGGAAGGCTTTTGAATAAATACCGACCGCTGTAATAGAAGAACCAAAAAGCTGTATTGCCCAGCTGCTGAATTCTATCCAAACACACACACATCAGACCTCTAATACCTATGATGCTGAATGTTCGCTTGTGGAGTCATTCATCAAACCAAACCCTTCCAAAAAAAAAAAAAAAACGCTGTGAATAACGGGCCGATAAATAAAATGAAGTACGTTTAATCGGCTTTTTTTCTTAACACCCCTTAGATGTAAAATGACCGCTCAGATTAATCTTCATCACCCTACACAAGATTTTAAAGGCAATTCTGAGTTTGAAGGAGCAGAGATGGTAACTTTCAAAGCTCCTCAGTCATTTATTAATATTTTCAGGGGTAAACTGTGAAACCTATATGTTCTGTGCGACATAAATATGACAAGTCACCAATCCAGCTCAATCCCTCCGAGAGGATGTTACAAAAAAAAAAAAAGAAAAGGAATCATACCAAGTTGAGAAAAAAACCCAACACAAACATGTAGGTAAAAACATTGCATAAAGAAAATACATGTGCATTAACTAACTGCTTGAACACTTAAAGCTTGAATACTTTATTCTAAAATACTAATGTACAAGCTGGTTTTCAGATCGGAAATCTCATTCAAATCAAAGGCGTACATCGGACACTCTTTAACAACCTGATTAACACACAGAATCTTTACAGTGGATACTCTAAAATATGGAGGCGTGAAAGTGAATTTTTACCTCAATAATAAATGGATTTTCAGCATTCCTGTCTGCACATCGTATTTTACATCAAAGGCAACTTTCTTTGGGGGGTGGGGTGCATAATTTGGGGCAGTGCAAGTAAAGTATAGAAACTATTATTTAAAGTCTGTAGGACTTTTTTCCTATTGATAAACTGTCAATAATTGCAAAAGTGTGCATTAGTTCTAGAAGACTTGTGCATTTTCATCGTATGTGGGATCGCAGCCACGAGTATTATCGTCTACCAAACTGAGGAAGGCAAAATTTGAAGCTTTGGGGGGGGTTGGGTCAGCCTTAATCCTGTCCATCTCCATGTCCCACAAAAAGAGTTTGGCTAATAGTGGGTGTGGAAGAGAGCATGCAGAGAGGCGAAATGCAATTTTGCTTTAAAAACAAGAGGTGGAAAGCTCCTAAGCATTCAAAAAGGATTCAGTTATTTTCCAGAGGGCTGACATGTTTTTGTACGCTCGCCTTATCTCTCTGATAACTTAATTTTGGTGTTTATGCTGATCAAACTATTATATTTTGATTTCAATTTTTTTTAAAAACAGTCTCACATGAGAAAAAAAACAAAAAGGAGTTTGTTTCCGCTATGTTCCACTATAACTCTTGGTCAAGACAGGTCCCACTTAAATCTACTATATAGAAGAAACCCGTTGTTGCGTCAGAACTAAGAGTTTCTGCGTTTGCTTTGCGTCTGATTGCATGGAGCCCTGTGAACATGGAGTTAGTTGAATCATTTCTCCCCTTAAGACCATCCAGTGTAGCCCAGTATGTGATCACAACAATGCAGAAATGACAAGGAGAGAAGGTGGAATATGTCAAATGGGGAATGGATGTTTGGTCACCAAAACCAGGAGAAAAAATAGAAATAAAATAAGTATAAAGATAATAATCGGGAGTCATGCCCAGGCGGGAAGTGGACTGTGGTTAAACATAAGCCCGGGGTGGCAGTACTACTGTTGGTCCGCCTCGTGTAAACAAAAGAAGAGAGATTGACACTCGGGAGTTGTGCTGTGGTAAATCGGTAGTGAAGAGTCCGGCTGAACTGATGACCGGACAGGCTGCTCTGAAAGTTCCGAGCAACGTGCCCGGGAGCTCAAAGGGCGACAGAAAAGGCTCTGTTTCTCGTTCAGAGCCCGGATGTCGGCTTGTCCTTCATGACATCTCTCTCGCTGTTTGGGTATTGCAGGTCGATTTAAATTATTAAGTCCGTAACAACTAGAAAGTCAGTGTGATGTGGGTCCGACAGAACAAAAAGGAGGGTGTTCAGGTCAACTGACCCCCGTCACTGTTAAAACATTCCACAGTTGGTTGGTGTGATGCCTATCTCTTGTCCCCTGGGTCCGCTGTTGTGTTTTTAAGATGCCGTTAGTACATCGTTTAAGACTGCATGGTGGTCTCCTTTAGGGACAAACTGGTACGTGTTGTGAAATGTCTGGATTTTCTGGGAACCCTGTTTAGGACATACTGGAGCAGCGCACCGACGGGGAGCCCATCTGGGTCAGCACCTTGTCCAACCACTGGAGGGGGCCGTTGAGATGCAGCTCGATCCAGCAAGGGGTGCTGGTGACCGTCTGGCGCCTGTGAGAGCCAAACACAACAGAGGAGGGGGGATTTTGATAGCTTGTTCAGTGACAATGATTTAGTAACAACGACAGGATCTGATACTGGTGGTAAGTATCAGAAAAGAGAACGAGAGCTCTAAATACAAACCAGGTGGGGCAAACAGTGGTTAAGCCCAGCTGGTAACCACATAGAGGTTCAACCCTGGCTGCTTAAGAGATGTCAAGAAATTACATTTTCCAACAAAAGGATGAATAGAATACAGATTATACGCAAACAATGCAGATAACTGTTCATTTTGAACAGATTACAGTTTGTAAAAATAATCTCTGTTTGGGCTGATTTATGCTTTTTTTTTCCTCTGTTGAATTTTATTAGCGGGGGTGAGTTAAAATCTGAAAAGTCTCACACAAATCTGTGGACGGTTTCTTTCATTTTCAAATAACTCACCTCTGCAGAAGTTTTCAAATCTTTTTTTCCCCCCTCATCTTTGAAAGAAAATGATACTGTCATCTAAACAGCCCCTCTTGTCCTAACAGAGCAGTAAAAGCTCCTCAAATGTCATGATTTCTTTAAAAAATGCCTCTCTGGGCCACTTACAGCTGCCTGATACCTGCAGAGTGAACTCCTGTGATCTGACGGGGGCCGCTAAAGGCCTCTCTGTTGTTACAAACGCCACTGCAAGAGGACAATGCGTTTGATGAGTGGAACAAACCTGTACTCCGCTCCCCAGCCCTTGACGAAGCTCATTCTGATTGTACACATTCTGGTCAGCTGGTACACCGCCTCAAAGCCCTGATTAACCGACTGAGCCAGCAGAGCCGCAAACTCCTGGTTGTTAAAAATCTTCAGATTGCAGCCTGGAAGACACAGATGTGGCTGTTAGGCACAACAAAGACACAATCATCCACACCCTGAGGTAAGTGTGACATACGGCTTTAAGTTTAAATCCTAATGAAGGTTAAAAAACAAAAAAAAAAGGGTGAGTTTTACCAACATAAGCGAATTCAATAATGACTTGACTGGCAAAATAAAATATCATACACTCAAAAACTTGTTTTTTTGGGTGTTTTTTTTTAAACTTACTTACCGACTCGAGCGGCAAACAGGTGCATTGTGAATTTTGGCTGTTTTGTCAGCGATTATTCTCTACAACGCTGACGAGCCCTAACCCTGAACGTCTACAAGATTCTTGTGTTTGGTTTGTGTGCGGCTCTGAGCCTCAGTAATGAGGCAGTTCACACAGCTCATTTGTCCTGGAATGAGATGTTCGAAGTCACATTCATACAGATGAGTCAGTGTGTGGGTGAGTGTGTATGAAACACTGTCACATTGTGAGGGCTCTCGATGGCTTTCTTCAATTTTTGTTTTTCCTTTATGCATCAGCTGGGATGGAGAGGGGAAGGGGCACGTTTTGCATAGAAAAACTGACCTGTTTTCATTGGGCAGGTCAGGCTTTCAGTACAAAAAGTGTAAAGCTTTGTTATTTTTTATGTTAATCCCATCAATGCGTTACATTGGTTCTAACAAAATCTATTCAAACAGGGAAAACATCTTTTCTAAGACTATGAACCTGGCGGTATCTTGCAGACTGTGGCCGGGTGCCAGCCGTATCGCTGGTTACAATTGGGACTCTGGACGAAAATGGCACTGTCGCTGAGGCACTCGGCAAAAACCTCCCCGCCGATGTAATACAACCTGACGCCACGTCCTGCAGAGAGAGAGAGACCACATCGGCGGCGCCACTGTTAGAATTTAAAACGTTTTCCACTCCCAATCTGTCCATCTGATGTGGGCACACACACACCTATATGTCTCCTGGTCATCTCAACGGTTGCGTTTCTGTTGACGTTGCTGAGGAGGCCTAAGCAGAAGCGCTCCGAGTTGGAGGGGTCGGTGAAGCCGTCCACAGTCAGGGACGGCTGGGAGGCGTGGAATGTCTCCCCCACCCGCTGGTTCAGCTCGTAGTAGGCTATAGAGCACCAGAAAGCTGGCTCACTGTAGGTCACTGGCTGGAGGTCTGAGAGGAGATGTTTATGCGATTAGGTCTAGATGGCTTTCCTTATCAGAGCTAAGCAAAAGAGATTTTTTAAAAATAAAGTATTGGTAAAGTTAAAACAAAAAGAGAAAAAAGAAGCTTACCAAGGCCATGACTGACGGGCGACAGGGTGCTTGGTGACATTTCTGCTGGTGAGCCTGGCAGAAAAACAATGACCTTCCTTTTAGTTTTACATGTGAAATGCAGCCCGGTACTGAAGTATGTTCTTTGCACATCCATCTACATCCTGACAAGTTACACTGGTCTTGATATTCTTCCACTGTGTTGGTCAGAATGACAGAAAAAAGACACACCTCAATCCTAAACTATTTTTGATTCATAAGAGGATGTTAGAGGTGGAAAACGAGCAAAAAAATGGCCCTTTTAACTGTGCAGGAAGGCAGCAATTTTACAATCACAGACTGCTATGAGTATGGGCATAATTTCTCCAATTGCTACTCAAAATAGGGAAATATATTCTGACATAAAATAAAAAAGTGTTTTCACTAATCTTATAATCCTAATAACAGGTCTTTTTCCCATCCATGTTTCTTTTCTGTGATATGCAGGACGCCAAATTAATTTACCTGATTCCATACTTTGATTCATTTGCTGGTCGCTGGTTTCTCCATCTTCACTCATGTATCCAGGAGGAGGAGTGTCTAAAGGAAATAGACAATAAAAGAAAGGGAATATTGTGATCAGTGAATTAAAAACATCTGCTTCCGATTATACTGATTTAACATTTTTGAAAAAAGAACCCTCCTCTGCACAAACCTGGTATATAGTTATTGGGAGGGTCTATGCCCGCGGGGAAGTTGGTGTTTTCGGGGATGGAATTTGTGAAGTCGTCTAGAGGCGGAAGTTCTGTTAAGATCTCCGAGTGCCGTGGTACCAACACCGGAGGCAGGACTGAGGAGAAGGGAAACCACTCATTCTGTCAAACCAAACTCTGTCATAGCATGCAAAGGCAGATTCTGGACTGACGGCCATCATTACCGGGCGTCTCCACTCTCTGGTAGTGGTAGGGGTTGACGCACACTTCGTCCTTCTTGAGGTTGAAGGCGTACTGGCACGTGTCGATGGCCCGCAGCTCGTGGTGGCTGTGTAGGTCGGGCCATCTCCACAGGCGGCAGTAGATGACGTGGGGCAGGCCTTTGCGGTGGGACACCTGGAGACGGCCGTCCAGTGACCTGAGGCGGTGAGAGCGGCACAGAGACCAACGAACCCAGAGTCTTTAAGACAGAGCATCAGCGGCAGAGAGCAGTGTGTGTGTGTGTGTGTGTGTGTGTGTGTAGCTTTGAGTTTCCGGTGATGGCGCAAACCATCACAGGCGGCGGAGGCGTATAATCGTTAAAGCAACAAGTCAGCGGGGCGTTTGATTGGAGATCAAAGCATCCGTGGCGGCGGCCGATTCTCATTTGCATATTTGTGTGCATGTGAGTGCATTCACCTGCTGTGGTCAGGGTATCCGTACATGCCAGCAGAGTCCCACTGCTCTATCGTGTGGCCTGAGCCTAGACCCCAAAGGTCTGAGCAGTTGCTACAGACACACAGAACACACAGAAACACACACACACGCACGCAGACACACGCACACACACACACACACACAAGACAAGTGGAAAAGGAAACCAAAAGAAAAGAAAACAGATGGTAAACATGAGATGCTTCAACTTATTAAGATGAGATTCATGTGTGCAGATGGTCTCTTATTGATGAAGGCAGCAGAAATAAACTGCTTTTCAGTCAGAGACTTCCTGTATGATGGATGATTGTGAGATGAGGCAAAAATATGACAGGTTTTGATGGGGGTGCGGCCAGTTTCTGAGCAGGGTGAGAGGAGACTGAACTACGCTTAACTGGCGACAAGCTGAAGATGGGAGATGATCTAAAACAAACAGGTCTGAAAATCCACCAGTAAAACAAATCTCTGGTACCCGACAGCTGTGGAGAATGAATCGTTTCACAGGTCCAAAAACAAAGTACATTTCTGGAGGTTTTTGTTGTTCAATTATCCTTCTTTAAAGAAAGGTAAATGAGGCTGCTGTAAAGTCTGACTGAGTTCTATTTAAACTAGAAACACTCATCTTTCTGAATGTCATCTCCAGGCCAATGGCATAATGGGAAGTAAGTAACAGAGGGAATGTTGAACAATGACGTGTCGATGAGGACAATGCCGAATGAGTCAAGACAAAACATTAATGACGAAAAAGAAAATAATAAAGATTAAAATAAAGAACACACCTACAACACAAAGGTGTACATGTGCACCTTTCCTTCTTGGGGATCACAACAAAGTCACTGGAATGGCCGTCTCTACAAGACTTTATCTTTCCACTTATCCGTCTAATCAAAGAGCTCCGGCTGCAAAGCCCCTAATCGCCGTACGCAGATAACGCTCTGCCTTCTATCTGACTTAAAGGTCAGAAGTAAAACCACTTCAGAGCCCGCCGGTCATGAGCTCTCAGTCTGAGCGCGACTCTTGACCTTCACATGCAGGTCCGTGAATGGCTGTGGGGGGAGAGCTGAAGAGCACAAATTGCAGCGTGACGAGCCCGGCTAACGAATGGAATTTGAATGTTTGCAAAACACGGCCAGTGAGTCTTTATTCAAATGCCATTTAGGCCAATGGATGGAATCTTTATTCGGATTTCCCTGGTTTCTCAGGAGTCAACTGACCGGCAGGGTTCCAGCTGTCCAGCTCTAATCGGAGCGGACCTCCGCAAAAGCTCTGCACCTGCTATCACCTCGGACTCCTCTAGATAACCTTTTGACATCCCCCGCCCAACCCCCCGCTTGCCAAAGATTAGGACACCGGGACCCGACCCAGAGCTGTTAAGGCTTTATCAGCTATGCTTCCTGGTGTTCAAAGGGGAGCGAGCCGTGCATCAAAAGCCTGAAATGCCATCTGCTGAAAACTGATGTGGCCTTTTAAGAACTGCACCCTGCCCGGTTTGACCCCGACATGAGGCAATTGCTTGCCGGGTTGCCACGAGGCCTCGGAGAATTACGACAGATCTGTTTTCACTCTTAATGAGACCAACGGGAGAGGGAAACCGACCGCCCCCCCCCCAATAGCTCTAACAGAGATAAGAACAAACTGGCGACACGTCTGGTTGAGGAGTTGAAGGAACATGAGTCCTAACTTGCCCTGAAACCAGGCAAAACATAAGACTTCCTGATTTCCTCGAACTTCCTGGCAGGACAAGGGGCTGTATTCAGGCGTATGACCTAAAAGAACAGCCGTGACCTTATCAGCTCCACTTGGACAGAAAGTATCTCGCCTACATTCCTCAGAGTGGACAAACGTGAAGGTTTGAGATCTCATGAGCTTATTGCCCCCCACCCTCCCCTTATTTCCTTAGGATTTGAAATATTGCATCGTGGCCGATGTTTAGTAACTCATTTCATTCAGTCTGAAATAAACACCTATCACAAAAAACTTGATTCTTCCAGAGGTTAAAATCATTCTTGAGATGTTTTTAGGGCTTTCGACTATTTCCAAATCCATCGTGACAGGATTCTACCTATTCTGCTGTCGTTTTTGTGGGATGACTCAATAAAATCTTAAGATGCACCAAAATCCAGATGTGGAAGAAGTAATTCGTGAAGGTAAAAAAATAAATAAAAGTGTTGAATGAGCATTCAAAAGAGGAATCTGTAAGGCACAAGTGAGGAACCCAGGAAGCAGATAGAACAGACAACATGGCTGGGTGATAAAATATGACTGGCTCCTGCATTAATAGCAGGTCTACGAAGACACTTTGACTAAAACCTATTGAAAATGCTACAAACATGGAAAAAACAGATTACAGGTTTCTCGCCAAGAGAGGATTTTGCAACAGAGGACCATTGAGCAAGCAATATCAAGAAAAAAAACTCAAAAGTGAGGCAAATTAATTATTTGCTCTTTTAAAAAAAAAAAACAGAGCTTTCATTGCAAAAGAGTGGGGCCGACATCCTGATCCAAATGAGCCAAAAAACATAACCCCCCCTCCTCCCACGAGTTACTGTAAAGAAAAACGGTGTTTTATCCAGGCCCTGTTCTCTCTGGGGTTTCAGGTACTTGGTTTTAAAAGCGTTTGCAAACTTCTCTTGGGTTGCTTTAAATTAATGTTCTGTCAAATACAGAACAAACAAAAAACAAAACAAGTTTTGCATTTCATGCCTGCACGTCTGCAGATGGCCAAAGTAGATCTTATATCTGATTAGAAAATACAGCATCATTGCTCAACCTGAGTCCAGGTTTTCTGGAAATATGAAAAACACACTTCTTCAATTTAAACTGTTTATATACATAGATTCCGATAAGGCCTGAATAAGAGTGGAGTTCAACCTGAGGTGTGCAAAATGATTTATTAATCCACATGGGATGGCTCCAGTATCCTCCCATGATCACAAAGCATGGATAGAAGATTACGCTTTCTAATTTGATCAGTGGGGGAAATGTGACCAACACTGGAGATACGAGTGAACCTTTAACAAAAGCTGAGCCAAAAATCTGGTAGAAATGCCTGATAAACCAACTAAAACTCACTCCTTAGACTTAAATTGACAGAAACAATCAGGTGCTGAGTGCCACAGTAAACCCAGAAGATTTATTTATGGTCTGAAACTGAAAGTGTGTTAACACAATCCCAAAACGGAGAGAGATCAGCAACAAACGTATGTTCCGATTCGTCAAACACGTTTTCTTCACCACATGAGCGCGACCTATTCTAATCAAGTCAAACGTAGGACCATTTTCGGCCGGCGTGGTGAGCAGAACATCTGTTTCCTTCGCTCGGGTTTCACTTCTGTTGCCGGGCTAATCTTTGGCACAGCCTAATGGGGAAGTGGGCTTAATGTTGCACAACAGAGACTTCTTTTCCTGCAAGTGTCCGGCGGCCCAGCACCCTTTTCTTGTTTTCCTGTGTCTTCTCCACCTTGCTGAGCTCATCACAATAGGTGGTTTTGTAGCATACCAACTCCAGCTAACTGCAGATGGAGTGTTCTTTTGCTTTGTCCCAGTAATGAAAATTCAATCAATGGTCCTTACTGATAAGCAACCCCTGACTTGACGTATGAAAAATGTGTGTTTAATTTGGTCTTTGGAAAATTTCAATTGTGAGGAAGTATATTTCTTCTTGACAAATCACATGTGCAGGTGTTTGGTGCATGTGTGTCAGACCGGATGAAACGATAAGCCTGTCATCTAAAAATCCTCAGGTGTAAAGCTCATGTGAAAACAGCGATACTGTGTTCCTTTTAGCAATGCAATATAAATAAATAAATAAATCCCTTTTCTTTTTTCTTTTTTTTTTTAAAGCTGTGCATTCTGCTCTCACCTGGGAATGGTGACACACTTTGTGTTGCTGTTCTGTGTGCTGATGGCTTTCTCCAACTCATCCAGCTGCCCCGTCTTCTTGAGCTTCTTCACCAGGCTTTTCACAGCTTTTTCGCACCATTTCTCCTCCTGTCCTCCTCCGTTCTGCTCCCCGACTCCTCCGATTCCGCCTCCCGCTCCTCCGCTGCCCGTCGGAGTCTTCTTCCAGCCGAGGAGACGTTTCACAACGGGGGGAGTGAAGGGAAGGATGGAAGACATGATGGCTTGTGTTTGTTTTGAGCAGACTTGAGTGACCTGTGACCTTTTCAACTTGATGCTAAGTCAAAAAGGGGAGGAGAGGTGTGAAGATGAAGTGGGTGATGGGCCTGAATTCCTACTATGGAATTAGGGAAACTATATGAATAGAGCGAAGGTATGTTTTCTGAGTGATGTCACAACTAAGGCATTGGTCTGTTGTGGTCCTGGGGAATATTTGAAGTGGAAGACAATAAGCAAAAAGGAGTATCCAAAGAAGCCTACGAGAGACAGAAAGAGAAAATACATATCACCACCAGAACATAAAAACTTTTAGGAATATAAACAAAAACGGGGAAAAAGATAAGATGAAGTGTACCACATTTTAAATTGATGGCAGTAGACATATCTTTGCCTCAAATCAGAGCTCCCTTTGATAGAATTCTAATCACAGCACCCTTTTGAGGCAAAACACCACACACTCAAACTGCAGGTAAACCTAGAACATAAAGAGCTGAAGCACTTTGCTGATTCACAGGAATAGTGTATAGTAAAAAAAAGAGCTAAGAAGGATTACAAAACACCCTCAAGGAGGTAAGTCAACACCGAGCGCGGCAACTCATGCTGGTTCATCCTAGATAGCTGTGCATAAAAATTTGGAATGAGAACAGTTAAAAGGAACCAATACGAACAGACAAAGAAACATATCAAAGCCGGTGGGAGAACGCTTAATAAAAAGAAACAAATCAGAAGCAAATTAATTATCCCAAAGCGGTAATTATGAGGGCAGAGAGCAGCATGATAAGAAGAAGCCGGTTATGCCCAACGGTAAATAAATAATCTGCAGCATTAGATAAAAGATATCAAATGAAAGCGAGCAATTTGAGAAAAAAGAAAAACAATGTTAAAAACAGGAATAAAAATAAAAAAAAAGTAGAATGATCAGCAGATCTGCCAACCACATTGTAAAACAGCACATGAGAATATAATGATATTGTATGAGAAAATATATAAAAGCTAAATCTTATTCAGTTATGGAAACATGGGCAGAAACAGGAGTTTTGTTTGTTTTTTATAAACAGTGAACACAAAGCTGAGGTTAATGGGATTTATCTCCACCACACACCTAAAAAAAACAAAAAAAAACAAGCTTACAGTGAGTGATGGAAAGCAGAAGATTAGATAAAAGTGATTTTCAGGGATAAATCACCAATCTGCACTGGAAAGGCAAATACACTGGAATTTGTGTTCGGTACAAGTCTAAAGAAACATAAAGATGACTGCTTAGTGTGGCAAAACAATGTTCCCTTTACATATAGGGTTGCTGTTGGGTTAAAAAGAAAAAAGACAACATTCTGTAAAAGTGAGACGTTTGCTTTTCAGTCACGGCAAAATGAAGCTCTTATATCTGTTGTCAGAGACGGTGTTCATACGGAAGCAGTTCTACACAAATCAATATTAAGTTCAGGCAAATCCAAGGCCAGGTACATTTGTCTAAATATACTAATACTATTCTATACTAAGTGGTGGATGATGGAGAAGATCCTGTGACCCAGGTGGATTCTTTTCTGTCTGTACATTCTTTGCAAACTCACTGAAGCCTGCCTGTGAGCATTTAAACGTGTGTTTCTTTCATTGTGTTCAGCAAATCTCTGCCTGTCCAAAACAAGGCCTGACGGTGAAAAATTCATTTTAAGGAATTTGTGGAGAAGTGAGTCGCAACAATTGCCAGTCAGTTGTAGAGTGACGGTTCTAAAACTCTGACGTAGGAGAAATAAATAATTAAATTACCGCAATAATCACTTGATCATATATTTTGGGTTGTCAAAGTATCGTTGTTTTGTGGTTCTGTCTCTGTATTACTACATTTCAGGTTCACAGATGGAAGCAGGCGTGCTAAAAAAAGCGAGAAAATAACAGATTACTTCAAATGAACTAAAATAACACTACCCCCCACCCCCACCACGAACCCATTCCTGCTTTAAGAAGATCTCCCTTGACTTTACATAACTACAGCAGCACATTTGATCAATAAACTTCAGAAGACTATTTAGACAGAGCCACAGACACCTTCTGATGTACAGCAATGTGCAACTTCACTACCCTGCTGACAGGGAGAGGAGACAGCGGTCCTGCTTGAATTACTCTGAAAATCCGAGCTCCTTCTCAGAATTCACAGGCTTAACCCTTGGACTTCAGGGCGAATTAGATCATTCCTGAAAATAGTTAGCCCAAACAGTATCGGTGGTTTGCTTCCCGTGGTATAAATATTCATGAAGTACAGTTAGACGGAGTTAAAGAATGTGGTCTCAGTGCTGTTGTCACAATTCATAGAGCAAAAAGAACTAAACAAAAAAAAAACAACTTAATACTCAAACAGGGAGAAATAATTCCCTAAAACAACAAAGGCCTTTGTTATTGGGAATACCAGGGACAAAACGCTGAGGGAGCCTTTAAAGTCAGCAGAGAGTCTCAATGTAAGTGAGAGCACCAAGAGCACAAAACGTGCTCTTATGGTCACAACACACCTCAGCTCAATACTCTGATATGGCAATCAGGGTCTTGTAGATAAGGAGAGCACAGTTATTTTGAAAGCAACGTCTGGTATGGTGTGAGAAACTGTGTGTTTGGGTTACTTCTTCTCCAAACACAAACACAATGTGAAGAATAAGCTAACGCTACCAACGGTGGTTCAAAACACCCCGTTTATGTTGACTTAAATAAAAGCCTTGGAAAACGTCTATGCGTCGCGAATATGTGCATTTTGAGTGGAATTAAAGTTATAGTCCAATTGTCCAGGTTTTCTTTTGTCTTAAAATGACTGATTAACCCCCCCTCCTCCTCCCATCGCCTCCAAAAGAGTACGAAAAAATCTGCTAGCAAGCTTGCTACTTAGAGGCACAGACAAATAAACAGGTCTGTTGCATGCTCTGTCGCTCAAAAATCAAATAACTTTCACTCTTAGAAACGGACTTACCCAACAACGAGATGAAATGACATTGAAACGTCGCTCAGGTACCTGTCAGAAAACCCAGGTGGTTCATTTTAAATGCATGTATAGAGTCTTTAAATTGTATTTTCCACCTCCGAGCCGCCGGGATGATGGCCCCTCATTCATAGCTCAACCAAACATGTATCGCTCCACACAAAACATGAAGGTAAAAGGACTCCCAAAGAGCCCGCCTACTCTGTCTTTCTATAGGCTGATTTCTAGAAGCCAAAGAGTGACCTGGAGTCAAACGTGTATTCAATTGGTTTAAAGTCACGTCCATCA